TTCCAATACTATATATTATCCCGCCATTACCACGATTTTCAGGGTAAATTCTAAGAGAAAATTCCCTCTGTGTAGTATTACGAAAGTTTTATAATATTGTCAAATCAAAAGGACGAAAATATTAAATGTTCCATACGACGTATCGATGCAACGACGCGATCTTCGATCGGATCAGCATGTATTATAATCTCAAGGAAGGGTGGTTAGCCGATAAATTCTTCATCTAGGTGGAACCACTTACAAAAGGGAACACCTTTTCGTGATTGCATGCTTACGCCATGTGAAATAGTGTCCAAATTACAGGTCACGGTGTATAATTCGACGAAGCGTTGAACAGAATCGTGCATCGTCGAAAAAAAAAAAAAGAATTCGGCACGATCCAGGGAACAAGCGTACCCATTTTTCTTCGTAGATACGCGAAATCACGGCTTTTAACGGTTTAAATCTCCCCGAGAATCGCGCCGCTAACAAGATTAAAAACCGGCAATTAATCAATTAATCGCGCGATATTTCTTCTTTTCAAGTCGATGTAACTTGTATCTCGGCGCGCGATAAATAATATGAAAAGTTCACAGATGAAATAACTTGATATTTTAATAAAGAATTAAATGTATATATATATATATAATTCATCGATATCAATCATTAACGCTACAATGCAATAATAATTCATAACTGATACATTTAAATAATTGTATAATAATCTGCAGTCCAAAGCAAATAATAATGAAACCATGTTTAATATCAAGCAATTTATTCTATTTAAATTTAACAAATGTTCTTGTAGTTTAACAAATTAATTAAACCATTATTAAATTACTGTTGTTCCAGGTGATTAACTTAATTTTCTCAGTCGATCGCAATTTAATCACAGAGATTGACTCGTGTGCAAATTATTACTGAGTTAAAACATGGTAATCAATTAACGATTAATCAGTGACTGCGTTTCAATCTCACGCTACATTTTATCGAATAATTACGCGGCAACCTAGTATGTATCGCTTTCGAAAAATTACAATAACAAACTCGTTTGAAATATTACCGGCAAACGATCGCGTGGATTTCTCTCAAGAAGGTTAATGGAAATCGCAAGAAGTCAGTTTTTCTCTAAGTTTCACTATATCCGCTCATTCGAACGGTGACTTTATGATGTTGTGGTTTTAATTTTCCGCGTGGCGAAAGGTCTGACACCAGTTGTCAATATGAAAATCGAGAATCGGTCTTGTCGATGACTTAATGATGAAAGTATAAGTTTCTTGCAAATATAGATGTCAATAAATCATTTTAGACTGCAATAAACACTATTTTATATGATGATTCAAAATCTATCTTGAAATTGCATTTCTTCTCTTCAAGTTAAAAATTGTGTACAATTTACTAAAATTAATATTATTATATAATATTCAGAGGGGTAAAGAAAACTTAGGAGAAAATTAATATCTCAAATACGAGATTATTATATAATATTTTTTAAATTTAAATTATATCAAGATTTGACAGAAGATATAATTTAACGGTCCATTATCTGCTTTTTGTGAAATTATCACGTTATATGAGTTATACACGTTCGTATACACGTTCGTTATGTAAATGTTGACGGAGGTTGGGATGAGAAACGGTCCAAAAGACTATGATATAACCAGTTAAGGGGCTATTGGGCCAAACATACGGGCTGCAATCTGGGCCTACGAGTCAATGAATCGTGGGATGCTTCTTGCTTGTTTTGTCACCTAAGATTCCTTGTAGTATGAGCTTCCTTAATCATTTTAATTTCAAACTTGATTACTCAGTTTATTACCCATTTTACTTAATTAAATGTAGGTATAATTTATAGCCTTATAACGAGAACACAATGCGATTTTTTTCTGCCAATCTATACTCTCTTATTTTATCTCATCCAATTGTTCTTATGATTATTTATCTTCATGCAGCGATAATTCATAATAATTTACTATTTTAAAATCTCTTTCTATTTTATTAAAGTTTCTAACTGATTTTTTATTATATTTTAAATTCTCTTATTACATATAAAGATATTACTCCTTCCTTTGAATACATATTATCTAATATTTTTAATAACTGTTTTAATCAGATTTTTAGAATTTGAGATTAAAATGTTTAATTAATGTGTATAGAAGGAAAGAGGGAAATAGGCGATAGAAGAAAGTGTATTTCACATTAACTCATCAATTGAAAGTGATTGTGTAAAATAAATCGCGGAGATGTTTACCGCCGATCAAGCAACAGTCTATTTTCGAGGTAGAAATCCTTAGCGCCGTGTGCTGCTTTATCACCGTGAAACCGCAACTATGCAGCTTCGCGCGGATCACAATGCTTTATAATTAATAAATCACAGCGTGACCGAACTTTTATCGAAGGTTCCGACCACCTCGAAGAACGGTTATGGATGTCACATTTTACAATGGCATTCGACAGGTAATCGCCATGACTGGTTCTTTGTTAGCAGGCTTGAGCGAGACAGTTGATCGTTTGACAAGACGCGTTCACAAATTCGATGATATCTATAGAAAAATAGAAAGTTAATTTGAAATGATTTTCTTAGAATTTAGATATGTTAGATATAGTAATATATGTATTTAATTAGTATTTCTAATATAAACATTTATATAAATTTACATCTATTTATATAAATTGAAAGAGATTATACATTATTTTTTTTTTTTTTATTTTATACTCTCTCTTTCTATACTTAACAATTTCTTTCTCATTTAATCGGTGATTTTGTTAAAAATTCCACCTTAATAAGTTGCACTATTTCATAATCTGAAAAATTTGAAATATACTGTAACCATGCCGTAACTGCAGCCCGTTATGTAATAAACAGAAAAGCTTATGTTTCGAGGGTGCAGGCAGACTACCGATATATCACTGGGTGGATTGTTATGTCCGACAGAAAATAAATAAATGCTTGAAGTGTTCTTCGAATTATCTTATATCGCGTATTTATTTAGTGATGTTGTTCTTAAGTTGGAGAATGCAATCATACTGAATTTTAATCATTAATGTTGGTTGTAGAATCATCAAAAACCTTCAATTTTAATTTTTGTTGTTATTTTTGATCGAGACATAAATATTTTAATCTATCCCAAATATTTACGTATAATTACATTTTTATTTATTATTTCGATTACTCTCTCTTTTTTACATCTTATAAAAATTTGTCACGTCATTTTTATATTGTTATTGGTACGCATTTATTACTTTTTTCAGATTAATTTATTAAAGAGGAAAAACGTATCTTTTATAAATTATTTATTATTGAAAGACTGCGTTTAAACATTCCAAAAAAATATATCCAACGTACATAAAAGTTGTTAATTGCTAGTGGGTTAATTACCGAACTTAATCGCCCAACATAATTGGTTCTGCATTACATTATATCGCATGTGTTATAAGACACTTCGCAGTTCTCTCGGCTCCGTCGCGATTCGTCTCAGTAATTTACGCGCGATTCGTTGCGCTAATAAAAAAAAAAACTCGCGAGCGATTGGCGACGCGCGACTGGAAGGAGAAAGCGAAAAAGGGTGAACGGAAAAATAAAAAGACGAAGGGAACGCTACACTCGGCAGCTTCCGCTGCACCGGGATGATAAAGGAAAAGCCACAAGTCTAATCTCGTAGGTAGAATTTTACGGCTCCGTCCGTACCACAATTACAGTTCGTTGAACCGGGAACGAAGGGCGCGCGAGAAAGGAAAAGGGGCATGTCGGGATTTCCGTCAGTCTATTTAGCGCACAGATAACGCCATTTTAAACAATGCTTCTGATTATCTAGATGAGATTCACCGGTAAAATAAACGCGATAATGACTGATAACATAGGCAACGTGCGTCTCTACTTTGTGTAGAAATTGTTTGCATACACACACCTTCCTTAGTTGCTCGTGAAAAGTTTCATTTTGAATGGGCTTCTCTCTTCTTAATGGTCATATCTCTTGAGAAAGAGATACGAGAAGTTGCAATACAATTTTGTCATGCGTATCTCTAAGAATATAAATCTGTGCAATATAAAATATTACTTTTCAAAGAAACGCAATCAAAATATATGAGTCTATATATACGTCTGAAATATATATTATATGAAAAAGAATTTATCTATACCTATTTTTATTACATTAATTTTTAACTAAATTAAAAATATTGCATTACGAATGAATATTTTATCGGTGATAATAAAGCACACATAAAGTTATTATTTAATTTACAAATTTAATTAAAACTTGTGTTCCATAAATACAAAGAGTTCTCTGTAAATTTATTTTCACCATTTATTTTCAATAAAAATGGAAAATATTGGAAAACTTTACTCGTAAAATATCATCATATTTTACAATGAAATATACTGATTGAAAAAAACACAATAAACTATTTCATATATAAAAAAAACACTATTTAATATATATAAAAATAATATATAAATAAAACCCGCACATAACATAATCATACAATAAAACGTATACGTTTTATTTTATCTTATGTTAATAAATTATTATTTGCGCACCTAAATAATTAACTCGTTTTTAAGTTGGCCTGTTATGTACGTTCTGCTCTATTTAATTTTATACGAGCCGTAATTTTTCATTTACTAATTTTTTATTTACTAATAATTATATAACATTCAAGTCTAGTCTCTGTTTTTAAAATACTTTTCGATAGATTAAAGAAAGACATGCGTTGTATACGTATATCGTGTTGTGTTTCCAAATATATAATCCAAGCATTTCCATTACATAAATCATGATTTTGAAGCCAGGCGTGCTTGGCAACGCGAATATAGTCCCGGGTTAATCGGCGCATTATTGGCAGGAGTCCCGCGGGATGTTATGCAGCGCAGCGCAACCGGTGCGCACGCGAAGGGATGCGATGCGTGCGCGTCTCCTCCCTCTTTTCCTTCGCTCGCTCGCGTGAAGGTCCACCACCACACCATCCCGCGGACCTATATATTTCACGGAGAGTCTCCCACTTTCGCCACTATCATTTCTGTCGCGGCAGCGCTCGTGCGCGCCACACACGTCCGGCAGTCCGTCCTTCCTGTCGAGTTCACGCGGAGACCGGAAGTTGCGATCTCCTTTGGAGACAACCCCTCGTACCGTGCACCCTTTTATCGAGACGTCACGTAGTGGTTTTTTTTTTTTTATTATTGTAAAGGAACCATAATTAGGGGACTTTTCATTTTTAAATCGAGATCGTCGACGCAGGTCCTTTTTTTGTAGGAGTGCGCGAGGATTTTTTTTTTTATGGGACATGTGTGCCACGTGGATCGAACCGGAAGATCCACCTGCTGCTGTGGCTATCGAGTGGGATTAGGCGAGCAGGCACGACGGTAAGTCGATGCAATGACAATTAAAGTGCTGCTCCGAAATCGAGCGCTATTTAACTTAATCAGGGGACTTGGGTATTTATTTATATTTTGTGAAAAACATTTAATGGTATGTTTAACCAATTTTTTTTACGAATACTATTCATATGGGAATTGTAAAACTATAAAATATAAGTGAAAAATTTTTAAGGATGTATACAATTGATTGGAAGACATGAAAAATATATCGTTTCTTTTTAAAAATATATAGGAAATAATATTAAAGACACTCAATCTTATTTTTGGAACAAAAAATGTTTTCCATATAAGTATACTGATAGCGAAAAATGAGCACCATATTAAAATATATTTTTTTTAATATAATATTTTTATTCGCTTTTCTTCCTCGCGACAGTTTTATAATAGTCTTTATTAAAAATTTTACATATGACATGTATCATTCTCTTTCCCTCTTGACGGTATAGTGCTTATGTTAATTTTACGTATGTGATCTCCGAATGTGTTCACGCGTTCGTTTAGCAGACAAAGAATAAAAGACATCAAACACGTCGACGAAAAGGCGGACTCGGAGGATATGAAATGTAGGAGGACTGGGACGAATTTACCCTGAATTTTTCGTAACATAATTTATCATAGGGTCGTGTTTTTTTTCTCTTTCTTTCGCGCTCACACATGAAATGAGTACTCGTATATTCTTCGCAGCTGTTCACACAAACAGATCGCACACGCTGTCTCATAATCAGAAAAAAAATACTTAGTAACATAGACACCTCTTTATATCCACCGAATAGCGACTTAATACATCAGCGCTGTAAATTATGCCTTTATGGCTCTTATCTGACCAATTTTCCCGCGAGTGCTCTCTCGCGTATCGCATATAATCGCGGTTTTCCTGAGCTTATTATTAAAATAGAATAGCGCTAACTAAAATAGAATCACAAGTATATATTGGAAAACATTTAAGAATGATGAAAATTATACTTGCACAAGTATATTAAAGAAAGTAATATGGTGATAATTATATATCTCAGGTCTTGTGTGTATTAAAGGTTGAGATGAAGGGTTGAGCGCGAACGATCTAGAATGAATATAAACGAATCAGTGAAAAATTATTTTTATTTAATTTAAACTTTAATTTAATTTAATGTTTTTATTAATTAACGTCTTTTTACACTTGTTCGTTTGATATGGATACAATTTTAATCTTCAATATAATTATTCATACTGTATTACTAATTATAAATATATATTCGTTAAAGAAAGAGAAAGGGAGAGAGAATGAGAGAGAGAGAGGAGGAATGCTGAATTGCACTGCGTGTGCATAGTGCATAGTGTGCTGTTTGTTTACATCGCTTTGTTGTCATTCACGCAACGAGGCTCAAGCAGCAGGTAGCTTGAGCAGTTCGAGACCCCGAGACATTCTGTATTGTCGCATAGTACTCTTTGGAATGCAGTCGCGAGAAGTACGCATGCCAAGAGATATGGAATGACACGCAATTATTCTCTATTAATAATTATCAGCTTATGCGATTAATGAACTTCTACGATTAACAACTCAAGAGCGTTACCGAGGCTGCCTGTCAAAGTATGTAAATACTTCACGCGACCACATTTCAAATAATAATCGAAGCGACAAAAGACATAAATTAAAAATTAAAAGTTGTTTTATTCAGATCTTTATTCCCATTTCGCGCACAATTGATTAATTCCCGCGACAAACAAGATTATCATGGCTATTTGATTTAAGTAATAAAAGGATATGATAGATTGTTTGTCGGCAATACATATGTGTATTTGGTGAAATTTTACATTGTAAATCTATGTATGTTTGGAATGTTGGATTTCGAGTTTACATTTTCTAACGATCGATATGTTTAATTTGTATATTTGATGTTTATATGTATACGTTATTCTAAATATTATATATTGTTATATTTGTTTATCTGTTGCAATTTAAATAGTGATGTAATTTTTACATCAATAAATGTTATTTATTTTTCTAATCTAGTATAATTATAAATAATTACTAATATCTAATCATAAATATGCTTAATTTGTCACCAAAGTTATTGACTTTAATAATTTTGTTAATTAACCTTTATACGTTATTCTAAATATTATATATTGTTATATTTGTTTATCTGTTGCAATTTAAATAGTGATGTAATTTTTACATCAATAAATGTTATTTATTTTTCTAATCTAGTATAATTATAAATAATTACTAATATCTAATCATAAATATGCTTAATTTGTCACCAAAGTTATTGACTTTAATAATTTTGTTAATTAACCTTTAATAAATTAACCATATTATTATATATCGAAAAAAAAAACAGAAAATAAATAATTTTAATTTTAATTTTTTATTCCAATGTTTTATTTAAAATGTTTTTACTTATCGAATGTATCGAGTACATTGAATCTTTTTATTCTAATCTTTCTATTCATTAACGTACATGTATCTACATACATTTGCGACATGTGTTGAAATAATTATTGGATCATTGACGTTCTGAGCCATTAGTATTTCCTGGCAAGTCATAAAGCTTTAAGTGGGACTCGAAGCGAATCTAATAAGCGCCAACTTGGCGACGGATGGGCGAGAAAAAACAACCGGGAAGCTTAATCTTCCGAAAGTTAAGGCGATCGGTCTGCCTAAACGGCATATTGCCCTTCCTTGCCTTTACGAGGCATCGTGATTTTTGTTACGTAGCGCCCTTGCTTACGCTCTCTATATCATTTGTTTGATAATGAACTTTGCCCTTCTCTCTTTCACGCAGGATGGCCCAAGCCTCGGAGCAAATCTTCCATGGACCGTCGAAAATCAGAGGATGAGTCGCTGTTGTCAAGTAACTTTCCAGGATTCCCGCGTCGACGATATCGCCGGCGATCAGCTGTGATCAGGATGGATCTAGGGTAAGTAGCATCATTATTCCAGTAGTATTAGAATACGTACCTGCGTGTTGTATAATAATAGAAGTAATGCAACTTCGCAAAAGTGCGAATAAAAATGCCGCGACATTCGCATATTGAATTTAACGCAAAATGCAAGCAGCGAAATAGCGAACGAAATAGAATGTGATACAATATATAACGATTCGGTTATATCTGAATGTACAATTTGAAATAGGTATACTTTATGCATGGATTTGAATTTCAATTGACACGAACTTATGTAGTGTTTCAAAACTTATTATGTTGTTCTTTAACTCGTGTCAGAATTAGAAAATACAAAGATCAGCAAAATATCAATACGAAAAATTTCCTGGATGCAATGTAAAAGTTTAAAATTTTGTTTTTTGTTTGAAAGTTTCATTTTGCAATTTTAAACTTTTCGAAAACAAAATATAAATTATTCAAGATATTCGCGTTGAAAATATATTTGAGCCAAACATCTTGTGTGGCATCGAGCTTCACTCTTGAATAACATGAAGGCTTGAGATATTGCTCGAAAACGCGCTTTCTACGTGCAAAATATGAAGCGATAGATTCATTGAGAGTAACTCGTTGCATGCGAGTGAATTAGGATATAATTAGGTGCTGGTATGCGAAACGGAATAAGATATATTCGATAAACTTATGTGGCACTGATGCCGTTGTGAAGGTAAGCGATTAAAAGGCGACATTTATAGCATCTTCAATTTCTTAATTTTTAAATGTATGAATTTCTACATCGTTGGAATAAATTTATATCGCAAACAAAATAGTAGGATCCTAAAAAATACTATGAGAAAGTTATGATTTAAAAGATAATATAAAAATAAAAAATAAGGGGTGAAAGGATACACAAAAATCCTTTTTAAGTATATTTTTTAAAGTCTGAAAAAATCGTATTTATTAATTATAAAAACAATTTTTCAATAACTTTACTCTTTAAGATGACGAGTTTTTATCAAATGGCACAGCTAGAATCGTCTAAAATCAATCCGCGTAATATGCGTAATACCTCGTAATGATGCAATTCGAACCCCGGTGCATTTTACGGATCAATCTGATGCGAGAGGGAGATAAAAGAGCGAACAAGCAAGAAAGAACATTCGCGAAATACGATCTTTCGATAACTCGTCATCTTAATGAGAAAATATCTCTCTTTTCTCTCGTGACTTTTTGCGCCGCCCCGTGTCTGATGGTTTATTTTAATACGCGGGTACCTTATAATAATTCTCTCGAGGTACATATCGCGCGCGCAAGCCTGCAAAACGGGACATCAATCGTTGTCCTCGTTACTTTCGATGCTTCGGGCAGAGAATCCCTTGTTATCCGTTTCCCTTCTACCGTGCGTAAGCCAATGTGGGTGCATAATTACTGGTTTTCGATCAGACAAGTGCATCGCCGCGTTTCCGCGTCCCTTGAAAAAACTCGCGATTCTATCCCTTGCATTCGCGTCCCGCTTTTCGCCCGATTTTTCTCTCGAGATGTGTTTTCGCATAAAATTCATTTCTTATGTCCTAATTTTTATTCCAACATTATCTGCTAATTGAAAATTTTATATAAGAGAACAGTAAAATTTTTGAAGATAAAAATTCTAAGTATAGTCTTTGCATTTCTGTTAGAATAATATGGATTTTAATTGGAAGAACTACAGAATATGCTTATTACAGTTATTCTGCATCGCGTAACTTATTTATTAAAAATATAATTTATATTAAATCTGTAGTTATAGGCAATAAATAATTAAAATATGTAAAGGATATATACTTATATAATTATAGTTAAAACATAATTTGACGTGTTTCAATCTTTATTTGAAGAACGTTGTGTTGGTATTTTTTCTACAATTATTTTTTTATCAAATTACAAAATTATCTTTCCCTTTGTGGACGGATTAAACAGTTTAGAATTGTTAAAGTTTACTACTTTATTGCGCGGGTTATTTTCATGCATTAAAAACGAAAGAATGCGAATCTCTGAAAATTTCTCTGCTCCTTTATATCAAATTTCTCTGCGGTATGCGCTTGAAATAAGTGCTAATTATTCCTGTTTTAATTACAGCAGAGAATAACTATAGCGCATAAAAATTTCCGCGGCGGAGTTATTAAATTTTAGCTTCAACAGTGAAAACGGACACAAAGCGTAGAAATACGAAAAATTAGTCGTGCCGTATTGCTGTTATCTGCTATCTCGCGCGAGAATATTTCGCTATACTGAAATTAAAGCACTCGGTTTTTCCATCAGAAAATACGTAGATAATGTTTTACAATATATTTTATAGAGAGTTAATTATAAAAATAATATAATTTTCGTTTGTAATTTTGCGCGAATATCGAAATAATTTTCAAACGTTTTAAAAAACATATAATAGTTTTGAACATATTTTATCAAACCTTTTCAGTCGATGATTATAATTTATAAATTATATATTCTTTCATACTACACATACACACACAATATAGGTATGTATGTGAGGCAGTTCTCATCTAACGTCGACAAGATTCGAGTAAAAATAAAATATTTTATATATGGATTCGTTCTTCTCGAGATGATCCGGAACCGCAGGGGGTTAAATCACTCGGCTACCTCGCAAATGTGCTTTTGTAACGCTACGAATAAAATTATTCGGCGCGATTCAAGAGTCCGTACGTCGCTCGTCGACGTTGACGCCCGTGAAAGTACAATAACTCGCATTATCTTACAACGGCATATAATCTTGTGGCAGTGAGGAGATAAATCCTTTTGAAAAAAAAAACAATTATGAATAATAAGCAATCTGTAGCAAAACCGTGTATGATGATTATATTGAGTCTGGACGTGTGCGTATACGATCACACAATCCTCCTTCCGTGGATCACATGCGATATATGGTATACATTACATACGATATGTGGTCGTTTACCGAGATATATACAGAGCATTTTAGAATCTATTTTATATATTTTACTCATTTATTTATTTTTAAAACAAAATTAAACATCAAATTTTTTAAATAGAAAATATTTTTCTTAGCTGATATCAAACAAATTTGAATATAATAGAATTTTTATTTGAGATTTGATTGTCATCAAGATATTTAAATTAGGAAAATGGAGATCTCTTTCCGTCTTGACAGTTTGGTTGAGCTTGAAAAAAAACTCGATATCTCTGCACACTTTGTATGTACATATTTACGTATTGTATATGTAACAATGATCAAATGCATAGATTGCAGTCTTTATTTTCTTATCTTTTTCGGTAACAGCGTTTTCTTTAATAAATTATTACTCCATTAATGGAAAAGAAAAAGAATTAAACTACATACACAAAAAAGCAGATATCCATGAGTCCACGCATGAGTAATTTCTTGTAAAAGAGAATATGCACAATTTATTTATCACGTTAATCATACTATATATTATATTCATAAAAAAATTATTAATATAATTTATTTATAAAAAATTCTAAATAAAATTTTTGATTATGTAAGAATAAATAATTAAATAGTTAATCTGTGTGTGTATATTGTGACTAAAGCAATTATATATTTTAATAAATCGACTCGTGTTTTTTTTTCAAATATTTTTTTAAATGCGATTTGCAAATACCGCACTATGTATGTACAATGCGTTCGCAGAGATGAGCATGTGCATATGCAACAATTCTCAATATGTATATATGCTGTGTGTGTCGTGTATCGGATCGAACGAGCGATAACCTGAAACGAACAAGGACGCAGGACTAAGTCGCAAGGTGCGAATTCAAAACCGAGGTAGAGCGAGCGCGATGCGATTAATATTGATTATTTACGATGCATATTGCACTTGTGCATATAGAAACGAAGGAGCTTAATCACGTGCGGCGACGATGACCGGACGAACGGATATACGTAAACGTCACATGTACGCGTTTTACGTCCATTAGCCGCGCCTCGAAAACGAACGTGTCAGAAATCTGAAGGGCAGTCAGCGCCGCCAGACCGCGACGTGCGAATGTCTTTTGATCTTCGCCGCCGTGCGCGCGAAATGCGCGTAGACACCGCGATTCCACATCGCGCATCCCGCCGAGATGCACTCGTACGCGATCGGATCGGGTTAGCGTTTTGCGCCGTGCATTTCTTAATTCGTCAGTATTCTAATCATAAAGATCCTCGTGTCAAGAATCTGACAGAGTCGTCACTTTTAATGAATTATATAAACGATTATACGAAATCTCATATACTATAAATGCATAAATGTAAGTTTTAAAAAACCTAATAAAATAATGTAGGTTATATAATAAATAAGCATTCTTATATATAAAGGGATTAAGTTTCGGATCTCGAGAAATGAATCTATATATCAAATATTTTATTTTTCACTCGAATCATGTCGACATTAAATAAAAACTGCCTCATAATTTATAAATTATAATTATCGAAAATGTTTGATAAAATATGTTCACGCACATCACTATTATATGTTAAATTCTAAAAATTTTTTTAATTATTTCGATATTCGCAATATTAAAAACAAAAATTATATTATCTTCATGATTATAAAGAAATTGTAAATAGTATATTTATTTCTAAATTACATATTTTATCTCTCTAAGAATATAGAATATAGAAAATATTCTGATAATTTTATAAATATTAAGTCACATAAAGTTAGAAAGTATGTGATCATTTTTACAGTATAAAATATTTTTATTTTCTACAATAATTACATATAAAATCTGTTAAATTTATTAAATATATAATAAACTAAATATAGAGTCAGTCTTTTCTATTTAAGTTATTCCATCTGATAAGATATGAACATATTGTTCTACAGCAAAAAGAATTAATTTATTTATTTCATAATAATAATAGAAATGGAATTGCACACACGCAACTCATTCGATCTATCAGATTGATGACAAATGATGGCATCATTAAAATCTTTGTCATAGGCATATGCATACATTTATCAATGGCAATGCAGATTTAAAGCAAAATTAAATAAATTTTCAAAGTCCTCCAGACA